GCACCAAATGCTAGTAAAATATATAGCATATATGCTATATATTTTACTAGCATTTGGTGCCGTTCTTCCGTCCTTCTATAGAAAAAGGAGTAGAAATTAGCATATACAGGCCTAATAGCATCTATATTCATTATGAAATGTAGCAGAAGATGTCTGTATTAACTAAACTTTAGTTAAAAAACGTTAAAATGCAATTTTTTTTATTGAAAACTCAAAAAAAAATAAAAAAACATTAACAAATTCTAAAATACCTAATCATTAATTTGAAAATTTTAAGAATACCCGAGTCATATCCAAGAACGGCACAAATAGATATCATAGAAAGAGGAGTAAAAAATTTAGCATCTACAGGCCTAATAGCATCTATATTCATTATGAAACCTAGCAAGATGTCTATATTAACTAAAATTTAGAGAAAAGAACGCAATTTTTTTATTGAAAATTTAAAAAATTTTAACAAATTCAAAAATTATCATTAATTTGACAATTTTAAAATTTACTCGTAAAATACCAGAGTAATATCCAAATTTTCGGAAGAACGGCACCAAATGCTGGTAAAATAGATAGCATAGAAGGAGGAGTAGAAAAAGGAGCATCTATAGGCCTAATAGCATCTATACTCATTATGAAATCTAGCAATATGTCCATATTAACCAAAATGTTGACAAAAAACATTATACCTAATGCAATTTTTTTTATTGAAAACCCCAAAAAAAATATAAACAAATTCTAATATTATTATGCTTCTAAAATAGATAGCATAGAAGGAGGAGTAGAAAATTTAGCATCTAAACTATAAATGCTATAAATCCACACTGTAAATGCTATGTAAATTTTAAAATTGTCAAATTGATGATAATTTTAGAATATGATTGTTTTTTATTTTTTTTTGTGTTTTCAACCAAAATAGATATAATAGATATCTAGGTAGATTTCATAATAAGTTGGATGCTATTAGGCCTGTAGATTCTTTAACATCTACAGGCCTATAAAATAAAGACAAGTATATATAGTGATTAAAATGATGTCACTATGCGAAAAAACTTTAAAATCATTATATTTGTTATGTGACGTTTTTATCATTAAAACCAAATATATTTTTTCTATGACTATGTAAACGCCACATTTCGTAATGGCATTGTTTCTTAGAAAATGAATATTTTCATTGGCAAGGCAAAACACAAATGTAAAGTTGACAGCATCGTTTGACATTCGTTTCAAAATTTGTATTGTATTTGTACGAGGTGTGTTCAGAAAATATCGGGAATTTTCGTTTTTTGAAATAAATATTTATTTATTCGTCTACATTAATGTTGTCGCCTTTAAAATAGTCCCCATTGGATTTTATGCACATGTGCCAGCTCTTCTTCCAATTCTCGAAACACTTCTAAAACTCGATCTTTGGGATAGCCTTTATTTCTTTCAGCGATGCGCTTTTAATGTCATCTATGCTTGCGAAACGACGGCCCTTTAAGGTTCTCTTTATTTTTGGGAATAGGAAAAACTCAGACAGAGGCATGTCTGGCGAATATGGAGGCTGGGGCATCATTACAGTATTGTTTTTGGCCAAAAATTTTTTTCAAAATTTAACAATTTTGGAACAAATTTTGCTGCCACGCGTTTCATACCCAAAACATTCGAAAAAATTTCATGGGATGAGCCAATCGATATACCAACATCATTAGCGACTTCTCTGATGGTTTATAACCATTTCTTCCACTTTTTCCATGTTTTTATCGGTTGTTAATGTGCTTGTGCGTTCGGGGCGTTCGTCATCTTCAACGTCTTCACGGCCATCTTGGTAACTCTTATACCACTTGTAAACTCTTGTTTTACTTATAGCAGACTCACTATAGGCGTTTGTTAACATTTCACAGAATTTATTTCATTTTTTAAGCAAAATTGGATACCATATTGATCCATTTCATTTAATGAACGAAAATCGCCGAGCTCATAAAACACGTCTAACCTTAGCGGCTACCACAGACAAAGTAAACAATGAAAACAGCTACAGTTTTTATCATACTTCGGGGGTATTATACCAACATAGAAAATTTGATGACAACCGGACCCTCCGAACCCGCGAAATTTAACAATTCCCGTTATTTTCTAAACACACCTCGTATATGCATAAACATGTTTGTCTAAATATCATTTAGATTATAAATTTTAGAACACAGCTAATTAATTAATTAAAACAATTGTGTTTGTTTACTAAATTCTATACATAATATAGATTTTTAGTACCTTTATTTAAATTGAGAAGGTAAGTTTATTGATTTTAAATAATTTATACCTTAAAAATGAAAAGAATAAGATGAAAGTAATTTTAACAGCTGTCAAACACCTTTTTAGGTTGTTGTTATTATTTGAAAATAATAAAATATAAAAGGGTCGTAGAAAAAAATATTGTGTTTCACATGTGAGAAAAGCTTTCTTCAAGCTCGTGTTGCACACTCGGCCTAACGGCCTCGTGAGCAACTTACACACTTGCATGAAAGAGTCGCTTTTCAACACTTGTAAAACAAATAACTAAACTAAACTTTATTTAAACGTATTGAAATTTGTGGATCAATTTTTACTAAAAACTATTAAAAACTTCATAAACGTCAGATCTGCCAAACTAGCGGACAACCAAAATGATGATTTAGAGGTCCTAGACATTTTTACAACAAAAATTGGACATCTCGAGTTTGTGGCAAACTTTCTCACTGTGCTCACATTATTAATACGACTAATGGACAGGCCATTGGGTTTTTTCGGATGGCGCTTAATAGGGCAAACAAATGACCATAGAACACTGAAAGTGGCCAGGGACACTACAAAAAAACACTTTCACATCAGCTCAGTTAATTTGTTAATTGGGTCCACTCTTAGGGCGTTAGGTAACTGTAGAACAGTCAACTTCAAATAGTAAACCCTTAGAATCTTATAAATGTAATTACTTTATGTAAATCAGGGCATTTCTAATTTAGAGAGGCGCGATCCTGAAAAGTAAAACAAATTAAATAAAAAATAAATCTCGGGTGCCCGTATTTTGTTCATTATCTTTTGGGGGCGCATTCCGCAGGTATCTGCCTCCAATAATTTCTCGGGCGAAGTGATTTAATTAAATGGATTAATCAGCGGTGCGCGTTCGGGGGGGCGCGCGGTGGCTCCGGACGGGCGCATCTCGTCTAAATCTCGGCGCAAACCTGTTCCGTGTCGGTATGTGTAATATTTTTCGCGATGGGCCTCTTATCGGCTCTTGTTTTTTTTGTAGATGGCACAATGGGCTATAATCTACCTTATTCATTAGAAGTTTATGGAGAACAGAAAAGATATCGATTTGAAATTTGTATAGAAATTATAAGGTAATGTAAACTATTTTTTTAAATTATTTTCAATGCGTTATCACTTAAGGTTAAATCGGAAGTGATATCAACTTTGTTTTTTTCATAAATATTATTGCATTTTTAAATTCTACGTAAAATTCTAGAAATACTAAAATTTGATTGTTTTTTTTATTTTTAACAGTTTTTGAGATATTTGATTTTTTTTTAAAAATTTGACATATGGATGGTCCTACTAATATGTCTGTATTACCACTAATTGTAATTTAGGATGTATCTGTTAACTAAGGAGCACTCTATCGAAAGCCATTAATAGTATTTAAAAATTTTATACAGGGTGTCTGGTTTTGAAAAAATTAAACATCTCAAAAACTTTAAAATAAATAAAATTTAGTATTTCTAGAATTTTACGTAAAATTTAAAAATTGCCTTATAATTGGTATAGAAATTTTAAATCGATATCTTTTTTCGTTTTCCAACTTCTAATGAATAAGTTAGGTATTACATACAGGGTAAGTTTTTTAAAGTGAAATCTTGAAAACGGTTAAATATTTTGGTGTGAAATTTTAATGAAGTAATGGGGACACGGGGGGACGTATTTAGACATATTTTTTAAATTTACTTCCCACCCCATTTTGAGGGGCGGGGGGTAACTTTGGATTTTTCAACGGAACGATGTACTTTTTTTTATAAAATTCGAATCTACGAAAAAAACTACGTATGTGTGCCAAAAAAAAAGATTGGCTTTTTGGTTACGGAGTTATGATTTATTATGTTAAAATACTAAAAAATAATTTCAATGTTTTTATCAAGTCTGTTAAGGTGCACGTTGTTGTTTATTTCCATGGAAACGCGTTATTTTGATCTAAGATAGTCGAGAATTTTGACATTTTGACGATTAAAGTTTTTTTGTGCAATTAAACATGGAAAATAATTTTAATGTGAAAGTTGATATGTTGTTGATTTTGGGGGAGTGTAGAAAAAACTATAGAGAAGCTGCACTAGTGTGTGTAGAGAGGTTTTCTGATAATCGTAAATCTCATATGGCATTTCAAAGACTGGAAGCGAGGAGTCGTACTATTGGCAGTTTGAAACCAAAAAAACGAGTTCGAAGGAAAGCTGATGAAAATAGTGCAATTGGCTCCTATAGGAGCGGTAGCTGTTGACCCGCAAGTCAGTACCAGGCGGCTTGCTAGAGATGCTGGTCTGAGTCAAAAATCTGTTCAGAACATATTGCATTTGTACAAATTTAACGAAAAGAGCAAATCAATTTTTTTGAAAAATCCAAAGTTACCCCCCGCCCCTCAAAATGGGATGGGAGGGTAAATTTCAAAAATGTCTAAATATGTCACCCCTCTTGTCCCCATTACTTCATTAAAATTTCACAAAAAAATACTAAACCGTTTTCAAGATATTGCCTTGTAACACTTTAAAAAACTCACCCTGAATAATAAAAATGTAATAATATAATTTCTTGAATGTCCAAAAAACTCTTTAAGAGGTCCGCAAGCCCGTCATCAAACAAAAAAATTCTGAAATCTTAAAATACCCGTATGGGTAAAGTGCCCCATTGTGAGTCAGACTTCTTCGCAGGTAGCTGCTACCACCGCGGTGAATGTGCAGGGGCGGTTCAAGGGTTGATTTATTTTTAATGGGCCGAACGTGGGGTTAAAAATATGACAAATTGGCGTATATTCCTTTATCTATTTGACTTACCACATTGACGAAGTCTTGGAAAGTGATCGCTGCTGTTTTTGCTTGTCGTGCTTTGTCCAGCAAAATTTCCCTTTTACCGGTGTTTACGCGTTCCCGGAAATTCTGCTGCTCCATCGCTTTGACGAAGTCCGGCCATGGTATCTCACCGAAGCCTTCGGGGTCGTACTGAAGGAACAAAATTAATTCGAAGAATCAACAGGTTGATGGTATACTTACTTTATCGAAGAAGTGTCTCCATTGCTGAAAAAGTTTTTATGTTTTATAAAAGTATACTTCAAAGGAAACAATGCTTCATAGCATTTATAGCAACTATAAGATAATAAAAATTGTTTAAATGCAATTTTTTTTATTAAAACCGCAAAACATATGTCAAATATCAATTTTAAAATTTCCTCAGAAAATAACCGAATTATATGCAAGTTGTATATAGATATAAAATAGATAGAATAGAAGTAGGAGTAAAGAATTTAGAATCTAGAAGAATAATAGTATCTATACCCATGATGAAATCTACCAAGATAATCTATATTAACTAAAATATAGTCAAAAACGAAAAAATGTAATTTTAATAATGAAAAAGAAATTTTAAAAAACAAAGCGTTAAATCCATTTTAAAATTATTATTCCTTTGAAATTAATTTTAATTTTCTCAGAAAATAAGCAAGTTTTTGGAAGAAGGGCATCAAATTGTACTAAAATATATAGCTTGGGACGAGGAATAGAAAATTTAGTATCTACAAGCCTAATAGGATCTATACCCATATTGAAATCTACCAAAATAATCTATATTAACTAAAATATAGGCAAAAAACCGTTTCCTTTAGGAAATAACCGAATTTTATTCAATTATATAAATTTTTGGAAGAACTGCACCAAATGCTAATAAAATAGATAGCATAGGAGAAGTAGAAAATTTAGCATCTACAAGCCCAATAAAATTATGAAATTTACCAAGATAATCTTAATTAACGTTAAAATGTATTTTTTTGTTAAAAGCAAGTTTTTGGAAGAAAGGCACCAAATGGTACTAAAATAGATAGCTTGGTAGGAGAAGTGGAAAATTTAGTATCTACAAGCCTAATAGCATCTATAGCCATGATAAAATTTACCAAGTTAATCTATATTAACTAAAATATTATATCCAAATTTTATTCATATATTATATCACGATAACTATGAATTTAATCGGGTAAACTAGGCTCAGTAGTTTTTTGTTTGGTTTTTGTTGAAAAATGTTGAATGCAAAATAATTTAATAAAATCACGAGACTGCGTAGCGGTCGAGGGGTTTTATTTTTAATTATTTTGCATGAAACTATTTTCCAAAAAGAAAAATCAAATAAAAAACTTACTGAGCATAGTTTGACAGATTAAATTTATAGGTTGAGTGATATACGTCTAGATTATTTGACCATTTATAAAATCTGACGTAGGTATGTGTCAAAGTTTATAAATATTTTTTTAAAGAAAATTCCATTAATTTAAGGTACGTAATAAGTAATAATTGATATTTCGTAAACTAGATAACTTATTTTTTATTGTTTTTTAAAAAATGTTTGTTAAAACTTGTAAATAACACCATAAAATCGTAAACAAAAATCCAATATGGAGGCTAAAATTTAATCGCTGTTAAAAAGGTCTAGTGATTTAATCGCTTATTTAAACGAAATTTATTCGAAAATTCAAGGCTTTTGATTGGTTCATATTATATTGAGGGAAATAATCAATTATATAAATTTTTGAAAGAACTGCACCAAATGCCAGTAAAATAGCTTAAAAGGAGGAGTAGAAAATTTAGCATCTACAAGCCTACCCCAGTAGCACAAAGATATTGGCCCAATATTCGTTTTATATATTGGGCCAACATATCTTTCGTCAGATTTTTTCTAGCTTGGTCCAATATTGAAACCCAACATTGGCCCGAAGTTGTTTGACATTATATAACCGATATTGGAAATCCATATTGGCCCGAAGTTGTTTTACATTATATAACCCATATTGAAAATCCGCATTGGCCCAATATTTGTTTAACCTTAAATTTTAAATTTTATAAAAAGCTTTTGCTAAAAGTAAGTAGTGGGACCCACTGCTTACTTTTGGCAGAGTGGGCCACAGGACCAGCTGTGTCCCTTCAAAACTTACAAGCAGAAGCGGTATGGTCAGTAATTTTGCCTTAGTAAGAAATTCTAACATAACAGCTTAAGGCATTCCACCTTTATAGGAGTATCTATTGTGCTACAGAGGCGAGAGGTATGCATGGGTTGCCTACATATTGGCGGATTTTGAAACATTTGAAACAATATGGGGCCAACATAGCACACACATCGACTATGATATATTGGATAATCATGTTACGCCAATATAGGGCCAACCTTGAATAAATATTTTTAATGATATATTGGCGTAAAATGATATGCCAATATAGGACCAACCTTGGATAAATATTTTTAATGATATATTGGCTTAAACTGATATGCCAATATTGGACCGATCTTGGATAAATATGTTTAATGATATATTGGCGTAAAATGATATGCCAATATAGGACCAACATTGGATAAACATTGGCAAGATATATTAAATAACCATTTTATGCCAATATAGGGCCAACATCGGCTAAATAAATCCAATATTGGTCCCAGATAAAATATTGGGCATATATGCGCCCCATATAGGACCAATATTTTGTGCTACTGGGGTAATAGCATCTTTACCCATTATGAAACTTACCAAGATAATCTAAATTAACGTTTAAATTGATTTATTTTTGTTGAAAATTAACAAAAAAAGTTAGAAAAGATTCTAAAATTATCTTTAATTAGACATATTGACTTCAAAAACTTCCTTAAAAGATATTCGAATTTTATTCAAATGTTATACAAATTTTTGGAAGAACTGCACTAAATGCTAGTAAAATAGATAGCATAAAAGGAGGAGTAGAAAATTTAGCATTTAAAAGCCTAATAGCATCTTCACCCATTAAAATTTACCAAGATAATGTAAATTAACGTTAAAATGTATTTTTTTGTTGATGATTAAATTTTTTTTAAATTAGAAAAAGATTCTAAAATTATCATTAATTTGACATATTGACATAATCCCTCGGAAAATATTCGAATTATATTTAATTAAATACATTTTTGGAAGAACTGCGCCAAATGCTACTCTCTAAAAGTGAAACAGTGAAATTTTCACTATTTCCGTCAGTGAGTTATTATTCACTGTAAAATTAGTGTTTTTCAATATAAATTAGTGAAATTTTAACTTCTCCAAATTAGTGTTTTTTATTATCACTACTTTTCCGGAACTCTCGACATAAAATAGTGAAATTTTAACTTTTTTGAACTAAACCTATTTCACTAATTTGTACAGTGTAATTTCCATTAAATAAATTAGTGCAAAGAAATCGCTACATGAAAAAGTGAGTATTCACTAATTGCTAGTGGTATACTTATCACTGCGGCAAATAGTTAATTTGCACTGTCAATCAGTGAAAATCCACTGTTTCATTTTTAGAGAGTAGTTAAATATATCACATAAAAGGAGGAATAGAAAATTTAGCATATACAAGCCTAATAGCATCTTTACTTATTATGAAATTTACCAAGATAATCTAAATTAACGTTAAAATGTATTTTTTTTTGTTAAGGATAATTTTTTTTTTAATTAAAAAAAGATTCTAAAATTATCATTAATTTGACATATGTATTGACTTCGAATTTCGAATTTTATACAATTATATTCATTTTTGGAAGAACGGCACCAAATGCTAGTAAAATAGATAGCATAGGACAATCTACCAAGGTGTCTTTATTAACTAAAATTTAGGCAAAACAAATTTTAAAATATAATTTTTTTGGTTGAATACACAACAAAAAATTAAAACTTAAAAAGATTCTAAAATAATCATAATATTGAAATTTTTACGTTTTTAGAAAATAACTCAGTTTATATCCGGATTTTATAATAATAAAACAAAACAACTATACCAAATAAAATGATGCGCATAATATGCAAAATACATTCAAATACTAAAATAGTGTAAATTTAACTTACACAAAATAAATTTTACCTGATGTAAATTGAACTCCTTTTCAGTATTATGTGTTTTTGGTCAAATTAAATTATACTACACAGAAAAAAAAGGGAAAAAAAGGAAAAAAAAAGGAAACAGCAAGTTCCTTGACGCATAACTAAGGTTCAACTCGCTAGAGATAATGTTTTTAGTGCGATCCACCAACTTAAAATACTTCAAGTATTGACAGCTGTTTCAACCTATTTAAGGCCTCTTTAGTATCGAACAACTTGTAGTGTCACACCAAAGCAAAGGACTACCTGAGCTTATATACTCTTCATGTAAGTCAACAGAGGCGAGATTTAAGAACATCACGTGATCCACACCGCCTTTGCCGCGATCGGTACATACTATGCAACCAGGAATGCACGGCAAATTGTTTTAATCGTTTTAACAGAGTCCTTTAGGTTGAAGTAACTCTTTTTACAAACAACATATTTAGTAAACTGAACCATACAGCGGGTTGGTTTTACTAAAGTTTTCTGGGTTAATTTAACCAATTTAAAAAAAAATAACTATCTGGTTTAGTACCGTCAAACTAATCTTTGTTTATATTAACCTTCCCACAGTTGATTTAAATAAATACTTATGGGTCAACTAAATTAATATATAATAGTTAAATTAACTATTTCTTTTTTTCTGTGTAGGTGCACTTCTCAAATATTTTTAGGTAAACACCGTTTTGGTGTTTGCAGTATATAACATTTTTAACCATAATTCATGGTGTTTATATTAACACCACTTGGTGTTGGATTTAGACACCATTTTAAGATTACATTTTACACCACAGATATTTTAAACCGTGTACTTAATATACTTACGTGGAAATAAAAAAACTTATTATGTGTCGTTTTAGAGAATGTTGCATATCAGATTTTAAAAGCGTATTGAGACAAATTCACACATTTTTTTAATTAACACACCTACATCTCTCAAAAGCTCCCTCCTGATGAGTACACTTAAGTATACGTCCATGGAAATAAAAAAACTTCTTATTATTTGTCGTTTTAGAGAATGTTGCATATCAGATTTTAAAAGCGTATTGAGACAAATTCACACATTTTTTTAATTACCACACCTACATCTCTCAAAAGCTCCCTCCTGATGTCAGATTCGTCCGGCTCGCTGGCCAGATCGGTGTGGTCGGTGTCGTAGTGGTCGTGGTGCGTTCCCTGGAACGACACGAAGGATCCCGTGATGGTGGCCACGTGACCGGGCTCGATGCCGGACTCCTCGCTCTGCGCGTGCGCCAGCGATCCGCCGAGGATCTGCGTCACAGAGGGCGACAGGCGATGCGGCCAAGCCGAGTGCTGCAGCATTCTAGGAACGACGAGTCTTGGTGGTAGGCCTGCAATAAGGGCACTGCGGTTAGTGGCTGGTAGATGGCGCGACCTGCACGAGTGGAAATAGCGCCTTTTTTATTTTGCCCAAAAAATTGTATATACGGGGTGTTTCACATTCGTGGTCAATTCGAAGTTTCTGGGGAACGAAAAAAGATATCAATTTGAAATTTTAAAAGCGTTTATATTCCATTTTAGTCTATTTTTTTTTAATATTTTAAACATTCTGAGTAAAATTACTATACCATGTCCTATACCTAAAGTAAATAGTTTTCTAGTTATTAATTTTTTTCGTTAAAATTTGACAAATGCTCGTCAATCATAAATAGCCTATAACTTTTTTGTTATTAGGTTTGCGGATATGTAGGTGAAATCAAAGATATTATCTTTAGGTGGAATTTTTGGAATCTGAAAACATTGTTTAAAAAATGGATGTCAATTCTATAACATTTATCAAAAAATTACCTGAGAAAACCCAGGGCAAATTAGGCTAACTTCAAAAGTTAATAACTTTTTTATTTTGAATATAACACCCGGTATGTTTTTACATAATCAAATAGTAAATCAAAAAAACCTTTCGATTGATGTAACTTTTCCCTATACCAAAAGTAAATAATTTAAAAAATTTTAAATATTATTTTGTATACAAAATAATATTTAAAATTTTAGAAATTATTATATATCAAATAAACTGTGACGGGTGAGTTGACGGTATCTATGGTTAACACGAAATTTGTCATTGTTCAAAATTTAATGGCGTCAATTTTTCAGGTTGTTATAATCAATTTGTTGACTATTAAAGTGTTTTGTAAACAATTTTACTGATCAAAAAAGCAGTCGGTGAGTTATAAAAAACATTGACAAGCCAAACATTTTAAAAATTTAAAAGTTATACAAACAGTATTTGCTCATTTTGAAACAAACTCAACAATGCTGTAGGATGTCAACTAGATAAAGAACTAGGTTATTGGAGACAATAAAATATAAAATTTATTTTAAGAAATATTTTAATAACAAAAAGAATGCGTAACTGTAACAATTTAATAAACCAACAATATTTTAGTCAAGAAGAGCAACGTCTAATGTAGAAGTAATAAATGCTTGAATGTAAATGAAGGACACTTTAAACATTTATTAATAATTTAGTAATAAAAATGGTTTATTTTTTATCAGTAAAATTGTTGTACAAAAAACTGAATTAGTCAACAAATTGTTTAAAACCTGAAAAATTGACGCAATTAAATTTTGAACAATGACAGATTACGTGATATCCAAAGATACCGTCAACCCGTCACAGGTTTCTTGATACAAAATATTATTTAAAATTTTAGAAATTGTTAAATACCTCTGAAATTATTTACTTTAGGTATAGGAAATAGTAGAATTTACTATTTAATTAGGTATGTAAAAACATACCGGGTGTTACTTTCAAAATAAAAAGGTTATTAACTTTTCAAGTTAGCCTAATTTGCCCTGGGTTTTCTTAGGTAATTTGTTGAAAAATGTTAAAGATATGAAAATGAATCTTTTAAATAATGTTTAAAGACTCTAAAACTCCCATCCCCATATTCGCAAACCTAATAACAAAAAAGTTATAGGCTATTTTTGATTGACGCGCATTTCTCAAAAGTTAACGAAAAAAATTAATAACTCCATAACTATTCACTTTAGGTGTAGAATCAGAATTTTATGTAAAATTTAAAAATGTAAAAATATATGGGGTGTTCTATTTGAAATGACGAAGTAGTTGTCACTTCCGGTTAAACCGGAAGTGGTATTTTGTTCAAAATATTTTAGAAAAATAGACTTATATGGAGTATAAACGTTTTAAAATTTCAAATTGATATCTTGTTCCGTTCCCCAGAAACTTCTAATGGACCCCGAATATTATAAAAAAGTATTTTAGAAGAAAATGGATATTTCAGTACAAAAAAACAATTTTAAAATAAAAGATTTTCAAGAAAAAACTCAATTCTTTATTATATACGCTAAAGAAGTATCGGGTTTTCGCAACGCGCGCGCCATCTGGTGGACTTCGAATGCATTGCGGAAATTTAAGAATTGAAAACAATACATTTAAAGCACAGATTATACATCATTTTTAAATAAATATGTAGTTTTTTTACAAAAGAGAGGAAGGCAGAAGTCTTACTCGACAAAATTTGTTCAATTGCACAGCTAAATCGCGCACGTTATTTGTACTTTTTTTTAGTACTCGATTTCGGTTGATCATTGATTAAGAAACTCAACGCTTAAATGCTTATATAGTTACGTTAGTGTGTGTATTTTATCAAAGGGATCATGGTGTATTATTGTGTTTTTAATTCTAAATAAAATTCAAGAACTAAATCGTTGCATTTTCATGTTTTGCCAAAGGATCCAATTCGTACATTTGTTGGTGCAGAATTAACTAATGAAAACCTTACCTAATATAATTCATATTTAAGTTTGGACATTTTTAAGAAATTAGTAAAAAATAATTTTTATACAAAGGGCCATTCCACGCGTAACGGATAGGATAGTTGCCGTGTTTTTATTTACAAAATAATATTGTTCTATTATATTACCAATGTCAAACTTTTATAAATAGTTCTAAACTAAAGCTGTTTAACAAGGTTTTTATTTGGCAAAATTAGGTATCGTGGTTGACTCTTTAATTCCTTAAAAACTAATAATTTAAAGCGTAACGGTCGGGACTTTGCAAAACATAACCTTAAAATCAACAATTTTTTTTTGAGTTCTCTAAAAAACGCCTACAACTGCATTTTAAACAACAAAATATACCTACGAATTCATGGCAACATAATAATACATAATAATATTATGATAATATAATGGTATTTTACCGTTGAGTGGAGACTTTCTTAATTAACGTTGCAACGCTTTTAATAATGCTAAATGCTGTTTAAATTTAGACGACTTTTTTAGACGATTTTTACTGAATTGAAATGTTTACACTTTTCAAGTTAATCACTACTAAAATGTGTATTTATTATATCTAATAGGTACAATTTATATTTACAGAGACTGTATGCAATTAAAAGTCATACTTTTGTTACGATGATAACAACCGAGTGGTGGCGCTACTAGCGATACTTCTTTAGTGTATTGTATACAATATCGAATTTCTGTAAATCTGTCTGCTAATAACCTATTTACATAAATTGTGTAACACAATACATTAATGTTTAAATTACCTAATTCAAAATCAATAAAAAGTATCGCATTTCTAAATTGTCAGACAATCCTTTTAACACATAAAATAAACTATCAAATTTTAAAAAATTTTGCAGAATTATAATAAATTATTCTTTGCCCTGGTCTAAAACTGCTCTAGCTACGCCACTGATCTTTGGACGTTTATTAAAAAAAACAAGAATTTTAAGAAAATTTAATTAAATAAGAAAACAAAATTCCAACAAAATTTAAAAAAGAAAATTCGTAGGTATACTACCACTAGTGTTAAAATTTTACCGATGAAGTTTTTGATTTTTATATACATATGCTTTTTTATTGTAAATTTCGCAGGTGGCATTAATTTTTAAGACCACGAGGCGCTGGGCGAGTGGTTTTAAATTAATGACACGAACTAAATTTCCAAGGAAAAATCTTGAGTAAATAAAAATAAAAAAAAATCAGGGAAAATTTTATCACGAGTGGACAACTCGGAGTGGTATTCGGCAAGACTATTTCACGAATATTTTTAACTACTGATTCAATAATTGAAATTATTTCTGTATGATTTTTTTGAACAAAACGCATATTTTTTGACATTTTAACTTGTATAAACGAGTGGTTTTTTCGTATCATAAGGGCATCTAATTTTTCCGAAAAAAATGAAAAAAACACGTTGCTAAGTAATATTTTAACAAGAAGCATGAGTGCTGGTGGTAACAATAATCCGAGTCAAAGACTAGGATTTTTGCACCTGCACGAACGCATTTTGTTAAAAAATATTACTTAGCATTGTGTTTTTTCGATTTTTTTTCACAGGAAAAATTAGATACCCGAATGGTATTTGACAAGACTATTTCATGAGTAACAGTTATTCTGCATGCACATAGCTACAAAACATACTACCTATTATACATGCATACATAATAAATATGTAGGTATTAATTCAAAAACTGGAAAATAGGTAATAAATAAAATACTACAAACTTAATTATTTTTTGTACAATTAAAATATAAATTGCAATTTTGGTGACAACAGCTGTCAAGTTTTGCCGCGGGTAAACTCGAAAAAACTGCTGACAGGTGCTGTCATACAGTTTTTCCACCTATAAACTATTTGTAATTCAAGTTCGCGTTTGTGATTGGTGGAAAAAACTCAATTCTTCAATACAATATCGAATTTCTGTAAATCTGTCTGCTAATAACCTATTTACATAAATTGTAAATTAATGTATTGTAATTTAAACATTAATTAATGTTTAAATTACCTAATTCAAAATCAATAAAAAGTATCCTTTTGACACATAAAATAAACTAACAAATTTTAAAAAAGTTTGAAAAATTCTAATGGTTTATTTTTTGCCCCGGGCGAAAAATGTTCTAGCTACGCCACTGATCTTCAGACGTCTATTTAAAACCAAGAATTTTAAGAAAATTAAAATAAAGTCTTAAAAAACATTATAAGGAAACAAAATTCCAACAAAATATTATCTCGACATCTTTAAAAAGCAGGAAATAGGTTGATATTATTTTTTTATGCCAGCACGTTTCTACCCTAACGTTGCCATGGCAACCCACCTGTCACAAACATTGTTTTATTTAATATACCCAATAACAATAGGTAGGTACATTTCCTAAAATCTGTTATTAATAATTAGGCTAAAATCAATATTTTTGGATGTAATAAACATTAAAAATGCAAAATAAACAAACTATACTTTCACGCGCCCATTTGGCACGCGTTTCTACCTTTAAATGAGCACCTCTTCGATGAAAGTCCTTCAGGAACTCACAACACGCATTTTAAAGTCAAAATTGTGTCACAAAATCAACA